ATCTGGTATAGACGGTTACAACGAAACCTATGAGTTTTTTAAACTAAGAATTGAACAGTTTACCAAACAAGTGTGAGGTATCCCCATCGAGATCATACGTCCCGTTCTGTTTAGTCCAGTAATCTTCTCCATAGGATATCTGTCAACCGCAAAACCTTCTCTGCTCCTTCGGTTTCCTTTCTTCCTTCCTTCCCTCATCGCTCATCCTCATCTTCCTTCCTCGCTCGACCAGATCCAGTTGACAGATGACTTGAAACTCTGCGTATTTCTGCTCCTTCCAGTATTCCTCGACTTCGTCAGACTCCAGTTTCATAAGTGGAACGTCATTAGGCTTAAATTGAAAAAGAAAACCATATTAATGGCAGAAATACCGATTTCTCCAAGGCTACTGCCACGCGGTTCTTTAAGTACGCAACCACGACCAGTCTATATCCTAGTATACTCCCATAGAGTGTAAACTCCCTATCCAAGAGAGGAAGTAGGCGTGACATATGGCACAGAATAGACTGCTCTCGGGGTATTTTGCTTTGACATCTTGTTCAGCGTTGGACAGAGATATGACCACAATTGTGTGGAAATAAAATTATCTCCAAAACCACAGCCACCGCCGCGTTTAGTTGGGGTACGCAGCTCCCATATGTCAGGGATTTCTAGAGTACATATCATCAGAAAGGGAACAAAGCCCATACTTGTCGGCCACACTATATGTATATATCAAAGACGAATTACTTGAGCATCCGCCAGACAGCAGTTCGAATTTCTCTGCTTTAATGAGCACTTTATTAAGGTGTTCGATGTCAACGGAACTGTCAAAGGCATCCCTTTCACACGTGCTAGATACGATAAAAGTACAGGGAAAAAGTTTCGATCGTCCTCGAGAGCAGGTGAGAAAAAGCCCATTACGAAGGCTTAAAGGCAAGTGGCACGATAAATGCACAATGCGTGTAGGATAAATACGCCTAGTGGGAGGTTTCGTCACCTCTGGGCTAGAGCTACAATGCGCGTTCTCCAACAGAGGTACGCTTGTAGCACCATGTCAAGGTGCAACACACCGATCCGAACACCCACAGCACCCGACTGCCCACAATTCACATAGACGCTGGTGCTCTTTTCAAATCATTTATGACGTACAAGCGTTGCGAAATGATTACATAAATACACACGTGCCTCTACCAAAGCGGTCATGGCACGGTGTCAACAGGGAACTCGTTCTTCCAATGCCATGCAGTACAAAGGGCTTTTTGCGAGTTTTTGGTAGCTTAACTTCACTTTTTCGTTGGTTTCAAAGTATATAGCACCCTCGCCACTATTTCCATATAAGTACAAAATTATTGAGTGTTATGCCGAGAAACAAACTATAGTTGAGGAGCGTACTTTGAAGAGTTTCAGGCTGTAATGGGTGTTGGCTTTGTATCTGTATGGCCCGTGCACTTTTAACGACCCCCCATAATCCCTGTCCGTGGGCGGTAAGCAAGCAAAACTGCTACCTCAGTGGCTCGTATGTTACGCGATGGCCCACTTTGCGCTAATTGTAATAGGTCTCGTTTGTGAAGAATACTCTTTCCACTCCCAGTGACCCTCCAAACGCACAATTACAGCTTCCAAAACAATCGATATAAGTGTGTAGTTCGAATGCAATATGTATTTTATTTGAAGCCGATCGAACCGGATACTGGCAGTAGCGTGTCATCGCTTCGTCTTCGTTCTCGCAGTCTTCCAGTCTCACCTGGGTGGCTTCTGCTCCTTCACACCACGCGCCTCACAGCTGAAATGAAACCAAGCATCACTCGCGGTTATTGGAGGATCTATTATTATTACAATATTTTGGGATTAGCTCGATTCCACTGAGCCTACCATGCAGGGGAAAGCCTTTCCATGATCGTTGCTGTGGACAGTATAGCTCAGTGACTCTGTAGCTGCTTGTGCAATTTGCAGTGCAAGTTACGCATTGCGGTGACAATGCCATGTGCAAAAGTATACTCCAAATTCCTGACATCGGGTAGGATCGGGTAGGCATGGCTGCATAGTTAATTTTGATGTGGCGGCGGGCCAGGTTTTTTCTGAGATGTTTTCATTTTGGATAGGTCGTAATCATGTCTACATCTAACATAGAACAACATAGCAGTTGTTTCATATTGAAGTATCCCACGAGTAACCCGTACTATGCCATGCTCAAAAGCCACGCCTGCTCCATCTCAGGGATAAGGAGTGTACACGCGTGCGTGCGGCTCCCTACTTTCTCAATGACCCTCTTTTCTTTCAGACCCGGTTATCTCACGGTACAATTTTGAAGAAATTAGTTGATTTAGATAAATGAACGAACAGCCTGGATCGACGGCTCGTTTGTGTACAGTGTCGTGGAGGCATGGGTAGCATCAATGAGATCATATGAGAATGGCACGTTCAAGGAGGGCCCTGAGAAAGGGTTCGTTATGCAGGTTATCTGTCAAAATTGAAGAACCTATTTGGCTTTGTGCAGGTACCCACAACGAAATGAGGCCAATATTCCGCTGGACAACCCTCCACCTCCACAAGCACATCGGCTACTCAGTCCTAACCGTCTCTTTCGTTAGTAGTGATTTTTTCGGCATGCTCTTTGATTTTTTATTCTTGCGACCTATCAAATGATGATAGCTGATATGCCACCATCAGTCGGGACGTTGTCAGTAGAGGCTGAACGAGCTCCAGCTCCGTTTTCAGTTGTGATCGGATAACGAACAAGCTCGGTTCGAACAACCAGTGGTAAACACTTCGGGCTCATTCTATGCCTCCTGAAACCGCCCCGACTGATTGCTACGACATCAACTGTAGAATTTAGTATACATCAAATGATTGATTTCAGTTCTTGGTGATCCACGGGTCAACGAAAATCCGGGTCTCCTTTCTATCGGTATCATGCTCTATAGATGGCACAACGTAATGGCCAAAAGGTATTTCTGTCTTATGAATCGCTTCTCTTCGCAAGGAATCCCAGAGATGAAGAGTCCGTGGCTGCGTACTTCCTCTGAAGTGGCGGCAGCTGCGCTTCTGTGGGGATATTGCAGTCCAAGAACCGTTGCGCAACGCGTAACTTGACTGCACTGCAAGTAGAGAAGCACATTGCAATGCTGGGATTACACCCATCACGCGCTATCCTAGCGCGATTCAAGGTGTGAAGATAACTCAGCCACGCCTCTTCATTGCTGGATGCAGTACAATTATGATTTGCGGATACGCTTCCATCAGTTACCACAAGAATGTTTGCTGGGCATAAAGTCAAACCCCACATCACTGCGTAATGGATAGCGCACATGCGCAGGAAGCGTGAGGTGCTGGTTTCGATCTTTGTACCCATAAACTTCCAATTCTTGTGTAACTTTCCGTATTGCGCCGAGAATGCCGGCGTAAAACAACAAGTTATCATAATATGAAGCTCCCATCAGTGTTTGGAAGACTTTTTCCGCTAATTCCCAGCTCTCACAGCTCCCCTTCCTTCTTGATGTTGTTCTGTTTTCAGAATGCAAAATGAACACCCTTCATGGACTGATGAAGAGCTTTTTCAAGCTGCTCGAAGATGGGTAATCGCCACAATTCAGGTAGTTTCTTTCAGCTGATCTACTACGCCTGGCTTTACTCAAGGTATTTTCGTGTAGGTTGTTAACCTAGAAGTTGTTGAAAGTTCTTCTAGGACAGCCGGCTCTAGGCTGAGGCGGCTGGCCTCCATTTGAGCTACGGCGCAGCGCGTACATTCTCTCATCTTCGCACACTGTCAACGCTACTTGAGCAGTAACATCATACCTGTTACTTCCAACACCTTTGCATACCACCTGTATCTATAATCTTGATAGCGGTAGACATGGCTGCACACTTATTCAAACGTTTGCGGCTATTCTGCAACAGTTGTAAGTCCAACAAAAGACAAGCGGCAATTGACTCGAAGTGAAATGAGGATAAATTCTTTGCTGTTAGTAAGCCCCTTCTTGAGATACGCCACACATTCTTTACTCTTCATAAGAATCGTAGGCTTTTGAATGCGTTGTTGGTCTGACAATGACTTGCGCCGTTGAGCCTCGCTGCGGATGTCAAGTCAGTGTTCTTATCACTCCCAGTGAGTTACCAATTCGTCGCGTCGGTGGGGGGGTGAAAGCCTGGTTGGCTGGCGGAAGCCGATGCGAACGGTAAACGTGCCACTTGCCCTTCACCTCCAGAATCGAATATCCCACGAAAAACCCTAAGCCGCCTGGCCGTGGAGTTCGTTCCTAGACAAAAGAAGTGACATCGGCGCGTACGTCGCTCACTCCAGGTGTGTCCCTCTCATCTCGTCCGCATACCCCTTGCTGACTTAAACCATCTTTCTCCCAGATCGATCACGCTCCTGAATCAAACTACTTTTTTTCATAAGTTCTCACTGCTCAAGTGCATGCCGGAAATTGAGTGCAGAATATGGAGCCCGTGTTCAGGTTCTTTTCGAAGATTTTCTCCAGTTTCTCAGGAAGACTTGTACACCACTTAAGCATTCATGTCTGAGGCGCACTACCTAAGACTTGCAATCGCAAAATGTGCCTTTCACGGAACTTTGAGAACAATGCAATAACAATTGCAAAAGCTATTTCCAAACCCAGTGAGACTGAGCAAGTTAGCCAGTAGCGACTGATTTCAGAAAATCATCTATTACGACTTTCTTCCTGTACTGATCAACGAGGAGGTAGCGCCATACAATGGATACAAAGCTAGTGTTCCACCTGGAATCTCGCACTCGTTCGCTGATGTAGCGTCTAGATTCGTGTACACCATCGTCAGTTTAATTTTTCCTTTGAAGGATACCACCTTTTCAATAAGGGATAGGAATAACTCGCGAGAAGGCAGGGTTTCCAAAGAGCCTTGCTATCTTCAGATTCCTCCAGCAAATATTCTTCGAAAAAATGTAGAAGGCTGCGAATTCCGTGAAGAAGTCGGCAACTTTCCTGCTCTTCGTCTCTGCCAGAACTGGTAAACTTATAATTTCAATTCAGCTTTGAATTCATAAACTTTGTCCTAGCTGGGAATGTATAGGTTGGCCATAAGGTACTAAAGCACAAATGAAAGCGATACAGAACGACAATACTTTTTGAAACTACTGTTTTCTTGCGCTCCATATTCCTGCGCAGAGATGGTGCAGTAATTACGGGTGCTCTTTCCCATTTTCAAAGGTTGCCAACTTGTTTGCAGTTGTCCCTGGAGGGTTGCAAACATAAACTTGAGCATCCACGGTCGCCTTAAACCAAAGCCTCTGATCTTTCGTTGCAACAACTCAAATGGAAGGTGGTGAAGGGGGAAGGGGGTGGGGAGGGGTGCTGCAGTGGTCCAGAGTTGATCAACACCTTATTTTTCCCCGTTCTCTATACATAGTCCTTACTGTTCGCGAGGAATTCCTATTGAGGTGGAATGCTCAAGACGTCGTGCAGGAGTATTCAGTGGATGAGTTCTTGCTTGGAATGGTTTCCCAAGTGAGCGAAGCCGAAGATAATATTGTTGTGGAGGACTTGCGAGGTCTATAATGTTTTTATTACAGTTGAAAGAACTAGGAAACCTTGTCGTTCAATCGAAGAGGTGGCGGGGTTCTCAGTGAGCCAAAACAGTGATCTAATGAAGCTTTTCTCAGATTTCTCTTACGGTCCTTTGCATTTCTCACGTGTGGACGCTGTGGCTTCAACGATTATGCGAGGGCGTGATAGCGGCATCTCCTCGTACAACGTACTCAGAAAGAAATTCAATTTACCGGAAAAGGAGTGGAGTACGATCAACCCGCAGCTGTACGAAACCAACAAAATCGTAGGTCTCATTTCCTAGATATAGTTCATCTGGTGGATCAAGTTGGAGGGCTAGGACCCAATTTATAAAATGACAATCAGACGGAACGCTTTTAAGTATTGAATGAGCCCTTTTGAGGCGTTTCCACCAATGGTGGTTTCCTTCCTAAAATGATCGCTAACCAATCGCCATCGGCAGAGCAAGACAGCAGAAGGCGGGTTCATTCCGCCCTTCCTGCCAACGTCCCGAGTGATCGCGAAGAACTGTGAAGTTCCGTTACGATATGCTATTGAGCTGGGATTTTATGATCTTCGTCCCAAAAATTTTTCGGGAGCACTTTCAGACTTTTTTTTGGCCACTAAGTTTTATTCTCATTGGAAGGATCAGCCCGTAATTAGTATAAGTCTACCTTCGATTGGCAAACTTGGTTGCCATCAAGCTACGCCAATGTGTGGTCCTGGCTCCAGAGGCTCGTTATGTTCAGGTGGCCTAGAAAGGCAGCTGGTGTCTCATTTGAGCGGTACGTATCAAAAATCGTGGTTTTATTTACCAAGAAAGATGGCCGCTGTGGGATCACCCCCATTAGATATGAGCGCGCATCGGAAAGAAGCCTCAAGTCAGAGGCTACAGGCGACACGAATGTCGGGTGGAATTTCCCCAGTAAGCCCTTCGGGATCTCGAAGCAGTGTCGTTTTTCCAAATGTTGACCCTGAGTGTGGTGGAAGCTATACGACCCAACAGATGCTCGTGTTTTGGGACCAAATGGCCAGAGATTTTGCTCACCCCACATATAATGCGCACGGCTTGATTACAATAGGGCTCCCTGGTTACCATAGCGTTGGAAGGAGGGAATTCCGTTTCGAGAGCGGAGAAAGGTACCCCACCACATACACAGCCTCACCGCCCTACTGGCATTGATAGGATTGCGCGATCGGTTCTGCCCTTTCTGGGGAATCTAAGACGCTGGCGCTTCCCAGGTAAGGATCCATCTAGATGGCACCGTACTCATATCCAGTTACAGTGCTGTTCAACCAGCCCGTACAGCGGAAGCGGGAAAGAAGTTGTAGATAGTACCCACATGTGCTCCCCTTGGAGTACTGGTCAACTGATGAGAAAAATTTTGACCGAACTTCAGAACTTTTCTAAGGGAGCGAGGCCCTCTCTCATTTGTGCTTTGGGACCAGTCAAGTGTAAGGACTAGATAGCAAGTTGATTTGTACGTATTGGTTTTAATCAAGGAACACAGTAGGTCCAAATCCAAGGCAGGTGGCCTCCTTGGACGAAGTTTTTCACCCGGATAGAAGTCACTAAAGCGGAAGCAATTGAGCCATTCCAAAGCCGTACTGTGGAAGCTAACATCAAGATCTAAATAAGGGAAATGCCGCTTATGGCTCCAACCACGTTGTGGCTTGGTAGAGATTCATATAGCGAAGTGTGTCGAAAATGATGAATTTCAATTACCGTTTTTCATATGAGAACAGCGACTGCGAGGGACGGTGAAGAAGCTGTGGATGGCTTGTACCTGCACATCGCTTCCTATAGACCAACATAACTTGTGGATCTCGAAATGGCTGCCTGCCGGGAAAATTCTGATACGCAGGTTTTAAAAAAGTGTCCCAGAACTTTTGAGACAACTAATATGATCTCAAATGTATCCTTTGATTACTTCCAGCTTAGCATAGATACAAGAATAGCGTGCATGTGATTACAGTCACTATCCACTAGGCACTGTCGATGTGGAAATAGGCTGTGAATATGGGCCGCTGCTCAAACCCAGCTATTTTTACTGCCCACGTAAGTCTTAGTGCAGGCGGGAACTGCAGGGTTTTTGACGATAATGGAAGGGCACTATATATTGACTCAAAAGCTAAAAAAAACTAAAACAAGTATTTGTCACTATTTCCCTTTACTGTATCTCATTTTGCGAACTTTGGTACCAATTTTTCGCGAATCTTTGTCGAGGCGGCCGGATCTCGACCAGATATTGTCTATGAGAAAATGGCTTGACACAAAAAGCGAAATGTATGAATAACAAATTTTTTCCTGTCACTTGCGCTTTTCAGTGCCAAACCCCTCGGCCAGAGCTGACTTTCTCTCGTTCCCATTTCTTACGGAAAACGCGCATACGACGGAAAATTTGAGTTCCGTTTCCCGCAATTTGCAGTCACGAACTGTGCCTTCAACTCCGAAGGCTGCTGTCCTTCATGTGATAATTAATTCGGTTCTGTTGTTCATTAATCAAGCGAAACTGGATTGGAATTTCACCTTCTTTGGCTGGATGTCGAAATTTACGTTTGCATTTAGCTGTTCGACAAACTTTCTGCTATATATGGTGGCGATATCAGCAGTCTGGATGCCTATGTTGGTGGAATGTTGGAGGTGAACGGTGGACCGGGTGAACTGTTCAGAGCAATAATAAAGGAGCAGTTTGAGCGACTGCGCGACTCAGACAGGTGAGCTTCATCTGCGAAGGTCGTTTTCTTGGTTGACGTTTGGAGATCTGTGACACGCAGTTGATAGATGAGCGGGGGAAATCTCTTGAGATCCTCGTGAAGGGTTTAGGTTAGACTCAATGGCTATTTTGCCCATATGGAATTGAGCCTATGATAACTTTGGAAAAAATTTTCTTTTGAAGGTTTTGGTTCGAAAATAGACAGAATGGGCTGTTCTCCGACGAGGAAATTGGACTTATACACAGTACTACACTGAGGGATATCATCAGTGGAACGACAGGGATATCTGACAAGTGGCTGCAGAAAAATGTAATATTTAACTTTCACCAGATCTCGCTTTCCGACTAAAATTCCAATTTTAATTCTATTTTGGGTGTTTGTCTTCGAGAATGGCGACCCTTGCCCACAACCATTTCAAGTGAATGCTACAGGTAACTCACACGAATTTTTCTTCATTTTTGACAGATCAGAAGTTCGTACATATTCACCTCTGGGACCTCAATGAATCGCCACTTCGTTTCAGGACTCGAGCAGTGTATACCACTGATGAGGTTCGATCACGTCACCGAAGTAGAAGGAAACGAGATAACCTTCATTTTCACACTGATAGGGATAGGCTGCATTCCACTGAGTAGGCTTAGTTCGATAAGCTTCTTAACTTTATGAGTTCTTCTCGATTTTTGTGGTACGTCTCTATAGCGTGAAGGTTCCAAAATTCAAAATTAAATTTTTTGTGCTCGGTCATCAACGTGGTTTATGATGACTGCAACATGGAGCTTCAACCCGCACAGTACCCACAAAACCCGCCAACCCTCGCCCCCATTTAAGCCACCCATGAACCATTTTGAACGATCAATCTCGAAAGTTTACGGCATCACTTAGGCACTCTGCTACCAAAAGAAAACTGAGGTAGATTTCCCAGAGAAAGGCTCCTCATTTTGAAAAGTGGATAGAAGTCCATTTTGGAGTAAAGATAGTAGGGAGATGATGGAACAGAGACAAAGCTTGAGATGTCTGATCGTTACCGAAAGAGCATGGTTGCACACCATCCAGTGCATTGTAAGGGAGTGGCCAACACCTTATCTATATCATCGAAGGGTTTCTACGAGCACCACCAAGCAATCACAAGACACCAAGAACATTTCCGTGCAACCGCTTTCATTACTTCTGCTGTTGAAATATTTGAAAAAAAAATGCTTAAGAAAGAAAAAAGAGAAAAAGAATGAAGGCACGATAGAAGAAAGAAAAAGAATGCTAAGACATTGCAGGAGGCATATAAAAAACACTCTGACCGAGGCCAACAATATCACTAAATGCTTACGCAGACCTAGTCAAAAGTATATGTAAGTAGATACCAGGGCGGAAGATACCCTCAAGATGCGTCTTCGATAAGCAGGCATGCAGGCCTCTCGTCCCTCACCTTCATGTACACAACAATATTGAAGCCAGTCTACAATCGCAGCGACTGAGAAAGCCTAGATGGAATTCACATAACCTACCGGAAGCCTCAAAACTTGAAACGTTTGGCCCATGCGACAGTTACTAGGGATCACACTACTTTGATCTTGGAAGACTTCAACATCGAGCAGCCTCCGAGAACGTTCGCTGCGGTTCAGGAATATCATCTTCACGCAAGTCGCCAAGGCCGCGGGCATGATTTGGAGAATGAATGGGACGGAAAGATGCTGCAATTGGGAAGATAAGAAACGCAGAAATGTGTTCTTCGCGGACCCCGGACTGAAGGTGAGCGCTGACGATCACATGGAGCAATTCGAGCAGAATATCTTCCCTCCATGTCGTCGCCCGTACCATCTTGGAAACTTCGTAGTGCTACAGGACTAGGTGCCAGCACATGGAATCGAAAAACTCTCGCCTTCTTGGAATCGGACGGCGTTGAGTACCTGAAGAAGACGGAATATCCAAGTGTGTCATCTGACCCAAACCCCCTCAATTACCGGTTCGGGCGGAGCTCAACAGGGTGGTCTACAGTGGCGGAGAAATCAACGACCTCGCTGAACTCAGGCACGGTCGCGTGGCAGAATCTCTCGATGGCGCTCGTCCAGAAGGCTGTGGCGGAGTATCGTGATAGTGTACAATGTGTTGTTGAATATGATGGTGAAATGTCCAATCAGAATTTGATAAAGTGTAACTTATATCGCCTTGAAAGTCGAGGAAGAAAAGTGTCTTTTTCCCCCCCCCCCCTGTGGAAGGAAAAAGCTCCAAAGTTGTCAGTGCGTATCAGTATCGCTCTCCTGAAGCAGCAGAAATCAGTAACGAAAACTTCAGAGCTAGCCGAATACTAGCGAATACGACGCTACCTCTCTTTTTTGTCCCCCTGTATGAAAAAGGACATATCGCTCAGCATTAGTCGATTCCCTTGAAGCATGAATACGTATCTTCTTCTGCTGGAAATACTGCCAGTCACGTTGCCTGTTTAAATTTTGCCTGGCACATCCTGTGGCCGGCAGAATGTTGTTAGATTTGTCATGTCGGTGGTACCGGTTTACTTGGTTTACTTGGAGCGCTAAGATCAGTCCATCTGAGGTGAAGTTGCTTTGAGATTTCAACCCTGGACCATGTCCGAGACAACAGTGCCGCTTCTCACTGTCTATCCTGCTTTTATTCTTTTCAACACCTTCAATAACTTGATAATGAGGGCAGAGTCTTGAAGAGAACTAGCGTTTCATGCTTGTATTCCAGTTTGCCTTCTAATCGGCTGTGTGCTTATTCAACGACGCCGTCGGATGGGGTGGGATAGTTCTTTCGACAGCCTCTCGGTCACCAACGACAGCGCAATGGACGATCGTTACCATTTCCGAGGTTTGAACGCCCTCTCTTCCTAAAAGGGGCGACCATTTAGAATTTTCCACCGGATCTGGTCGTCTGAAAATTGCACCTGGTTTCAGCATTGGAGTGGCTCCAGGAATCCTACGTACGCCAGGTAATAGTCGAACTATCGCCGGGCGTTTTGATACTTCGCAAGCCACGAGGTGGAATCCTGAGGAAAACTCTATTTTCCAAGAATGTTGAGGTTTGTAAGCTCTGTATTTTCGTAGACATCCATGAGCTATCCCGCTTTTGAATACGGGAACTGGAAAACCTCTGAAGACCTTCCTTCGGGGAAACTGAAATTCTCGAAGGGTCTGTTCTACTCTGTAATAGAAGAAGTTTTTGATTACAGTTCAAAATGAGCACTCTCCATATCCCGTCAATAGGGTGGGCCATGCGCGCGTACTTCATTTGAACCTGGCGGGGCGGCTGCGCCTTTGGTGAGACACGCTGACA